TGGCATGGGCCCAGCCCTCAGTGGCAAACATTTACTGCCGATAGCTGAATTTTTAAATACCAAATGTCTAATGATATGCTGAGAAAAAAATGGAATAAGAAGATAAATACTACAAAATAAAGAAAAGTACAGAAGATACTGAGGTTCTGAAGGAGCCAACAACGTGGATTGGTCAGAAGAAGAACCCTCCAGGCAAAACAGCTGTTCAAACCACAAGGTCTATACTGTTCTATTTGCCTAGAGCAAAATGAGGAGAAAGGGGGAGCTCGTCAGGCAAGTGCCAGGTGGTGAGAGACCTCTAATGATATTCTAGAGAAAAGAAGGGAGGCACTCTACTAACAGAACTTCAGGTAAATTTTAGCTGGGGAAGAGTGAGTATAAAAAGACTGGACAATTAAAAAGTGACCAGTGACAGCTCTAAGTTGGGAGACATTATTTGAGAGATATCAAGAAGGATGTGCACAACTGATAACTGTTTGGCTAGGTTCAGTGGTAAATTACAGAGAAATCAAGGATGTCTCCAGGATTCTAGATTGATGACTTACTTACAGAGTGAGGGACTAAATAATAGGAAACAAAGAAGAGTTCAGTTTTACTGCCTAAGTGAAATTAAAGAGTAAGAAAAATAAGTGCATGTATTCTTCCATTGATTTGGGAGGTCGCTTATTTCCTTCCATCAACAAAATGTTAGTAACCATCAGCAAAGCACTGGTGAGCTAAGCAAGAATACTTTCAGGGAATGGCTGAGTGCAGAAGCCGGCTGGTGAGGGCTGGATGAGTAGATGGCAAGTGAAGAAATACTGTAGCTGTCAAGGAATATGGAAGATACTGGTGACTTCTTGCCAAGAGAGAACAAGGTAAGAGACTATATGGTTAAAGAAATACATGCAATGATAATGCAAAGTAATATTCTGGGCTGTCTTGGTACAGAAAAAGGGCAACAATAGAAAAACTAGTGAACATTGACTAAAGATGGCAGTTTAGTGAATAATGACACATCAGTGTTACCTTCTTAGTTTTGACAAATGTCTTATTGTCATAAAATATATCAATGATAGGAGAAACTGGGTGATATAGAACTATCTCTGTACTATATTTTCAACTTTTCTCTAAATCTATTTTGGAATAATAGAAGTTTACTTACAAAAAATACTAAAATCAGATATTCCAACTGTACCCTCCACTCCACAAACTGAAGTTTTAATGTTCAGAACTTTCTAAGTTTATTTTTAAAAATTTGTCTGACTATAATACAATTACATACTAATTATTAAAAAATACTTGAAAAATATAAATATATACTTTTTATCTCACAACTTAGAGATAAAAATTAACATCTTTCTTTCTATTAATAGGTAATTTTTTTCAACCAACACTGAGACTAATCCCCTGGGTTCTCTTTTTCCCTTGATATTAATCATAATCTTTCCCTTTTAAAAGTTCTTCAAAAGCACCTAAGTGACTTCACAGCTGTCTGCACATGGTTTTACCACAGTGTCCTACTTATTCCAAATCTGCTGGACATTTAGATCACTTCCAACTTCTCCTCATTTATAACTAGTACAGTGCGTGTCATATGCAGAGACTGAATGCTCATGCTTATTTCATTAAGAGAAATTCCAAAACCTGCAATTCCTGAGTTGAAGTAAGTGTTAATTTACCACTCCTGCTAAACACTACCAACCTGACCTCCAAAACCGCGGAGCTGGCCTGCACTCCCAGAGGCAGAGTGCCGACAGCCAGTCCTCCCCAGCCTACCAGCAAGGGGCAGTGACATTTGTAAAAGTGGAGCTACTTGCTAGGTTAAACACTATTCATCATTACTTTTAAATTTGAATATCTTTATTTACTAGTAAGACTAAACATATTTAATATATTTATTTTTAGTCAGTTTTATTTCCTCTTCCATGAATTACCTGCTCACACCCTTTGCATGTTTTTGCACTGAGATCTTAGGCTATCTGATTTTTTTTCTTATTCCTTTATCTATTAAAGACCTTATTCTGTCAGTTGCAGTTGTGGCAAATATGTGCTAGTTTGTTTGCTATTTCCTTTTTAATTTTGTTTATTATAATTACAATGTTCTTTGTTGCATAGAATTTAACTTGGATGTGTATACATCTCCATGTCCTTTATAATTTCTTTATAAAGAAAGACATAAACTGTTTTTATGTTTATAGAGACCTCACTGCCCTATCACTCAATCAAACAAATATTAGCATTAGTAAAGTAGAATCCTTAAAATTAAGGAAGAGAAAAGTCAGATCACCTGTCCAATTGAAATAACCAGTTGTTTTTATTTTGGAGACTTCAAATGTAGAGGTCTGGAATTACCTAGTGATTGACAACACCAATTCTACAAATTTAAACAAATATAATTATTAACAACTAATACTTACTGAGATAAACCTTCTCTCTTAAGGCTATCTATGACAGTTGTTAATTGTTTTTAATTACCAGCTAAGATCAGAGAGTTTCCAAAAGAAACAAAAAGAATTAATCTCAGGGCATGACTATATCAAGAAAAACCTAGTTCAGGCCAGACCCAAGGAAACAGAGGCTGTATTAGACACCACTAATAGTTTAATTATTAGCAGTTACTGTCAGCAAGATTCCAGTTTTTTCTACTTTTGTCTTAATAGCTACAAAGAAAGGAGAATGTTAAAGTAGAAAGTATACATGAAAATAAAAAGTTCATAGGCTAAATTCGGGCTCAAATCCCAGATCCCCCACAAACTAGTAAACTTTACCCTAAATAAATCAAATGGATTCTCAAGGCTTCATTGTCTGTAACAAAGGAGTTAATGTTATTGACACAGACTGATCATTCAATAAATTATTTTGTAATGATTTCCAAAGAAATACCCTGAGTTCTTATCAAACCACTACCAACAATTGAGATTTTTTCAGTATAATTTTCTGTTCACATATAGATATATGTGTACATAATTTTTATTTTTCTTTTGTAATTATTTTGAAGACATAAGATAAATGACAAAATCCCTTTTGTCTTACAAGTAGCCTATAGTAAAGATTAAACTACCTCCAGAAACTACAGAAAAATATCTATTTTAATACCAGCACAACTAGGTCAATTTAGGGAATAGTTCCCCTTAAGTCATTAAAAGTGGTAAAAATATAAGTTACCTCAAAAGACCCGATAATTCAATTTGCATTTCAACTAACAGTTTGTAACATCTCTATCCACAAACCAAACCTCATCCTTCTGAACACTAGCTATCTATGTTCCACAGCTGGGGAAATAGCAACGACAACAATATTAGAGTTGGGGAAGAATAAACCACAGGGGAAAACTTCTGAGAATGAACCATAAGTATAAAACAAGTGTGACAACGGAAGAACAGCAGCAAAAAGTTACTTTCCATTAAAACTATTTAAGATAAACATGTAATTGGCTATAACGAAACTATAAAAACTAAATTACTAAAAAATGTTAGTTTTAGAGACTGAACTTTTTTTTAACCCTTACCCAAAGATGTGTTTATTGATTTCAGAGAGAAAGGAAGAGAGAAAGAGACACACATGGATGTGAGAGGAAAAACATCAATCAGTTGCCTCCAGTGCCCGCCCCAACCGAGAATCAAACCCGCGGCCTCTTGGTGGACGTGATGACACCCCAACAAACTGAGCCACCAGTCAGGGCTAAACATTCTTAAATGGCTGGCTTAACTCTGCTTTTCCTTTTGTAAAATCAGTGCTTCAACCATGGAATACAAGAATCTCAAACAATTTACATTATTGTGAAGATATAGCTACAAGGAAGAAACAACACGTAATAAATCACAACCTCTCTCTGAGGAAAAAATAAATGTTTTAAAAACACCTGCTGTTAGGGCCAGGTACAGTCCAAATTTATTTCTGGAATTCCAAAGTTGCATAACTGAAGTATATTTCAATGGAGATGAACATCAAGTTACATAATTATCAAATTACCATATTCCATTTTGCTTTTTTAGCAAAGAACATGATCAGACTGGGGTGACAGCAAGAAAAAAATTAAAGCAGCATATTTTTCTTATAGTAGATTTTTATTTTAAAAATCACTTAGATAGAAGGCTACAAATTTTCAATATTGTGTCCCAAGGCTAAGCAATATAAAATGATCTTTAAAAACCTAGACTGTTTGTTCTCATTTTATTCAGGGTATTTTTAGCTTTACCCATTATTAGAAAAGAAAACTTTACTCAACAAACACGATACTTTAAAAAATTATTTTAAAAAATTATTAAATTTCTGTGCTTTCTTCCCATGGAGAACAGCACAAATGTTGAATATTCAACTATATTTTACAAAAAGTTTAGTAACAATTGTCTGCTTGGATAGCAATAATCACAAAATATATGGAACACGTATTCCAGGGAAATAGCATCTGCATTTTTTTAATTTAAATTTAAAGCATTGGAGAATTAGTTGAATATTCAAAAGCTGTATTAATAACCATAATAAGGGATATTCATCATAGAGCAAATGTAAAATCTCCTCTAAAACATGACTTCAATAAAAGAGTACAAATGCTATCATTAGAACAGTAAACCAATCTGGGAAAAGCTTAAGTGAAGAATTATAAATAAAACAAACAGGATTTCTTATTTTCTTGTTCAAAGGGAAAGTTTACAAATCAAAAATTGTTTTACTTAAAGCTCTTATGAGCTTCAGGCTTTGTCTTGATGTATACGTAGGGGTGGGGCAAAAGCAGGTTTACAGTTCCTGTGGAAAATAATACAGTAGTTAATAAATAAAAACACAAGAATAAATCTGTGTTGTACATACTCACAACTCTAAACATTCTTTTGCCCTATGCAGAATTTGAAAATCTTAGATGACACTGATAATGTCTACAGAAGAGTATGTAGCACACTGCTGATAAATAATATTATAGACTTAGATTAATAAAACTAAAACAACTAAAGCTGTCTAATAAAAGCTTCATTTAAAAGTTGTTCATTGTGAACTAGACTATAAAAGGTGGTGGTCTTTACCGTGACTCAAAGGAGCTGCACCATCCCTGGGCTTTTCTTCTTCTCGGCTTTGCTCCTAGAACACAGAAAATCTGGTTTAGACCGTATTTTTGGTTAATTATTTGAAACACCGAAAACTAACTTCCCTGTTTGCAGGAAACCAAGCCATGAAAAGCACCATAATGAAGGGGTCAACAGATCAGCAGCAAGTGCCCTGCAGGTGCGAGTACCAAGCCCAGGAGGGGCACACCATGACCCATTCAGACTCGGAAGAACCCTTTATTACTGTTGTGGGAGAAACATAATTTTCCTCCTACCCCTCCAAGTTCTTTTGGCTGGACTAATAAATTGATATGAGACAGATTAAGAGGAGAAAATGACCTAACTTACTATGTATATAGATACAAGGGTTCCATAAAATCTGAGACCCAAGGACAGATAGGGCAGGTCAGGCTTATATACCACCTTTGGCTAAGGAGAAAAGGGTAGAGGGATAGTAGTTTGGGATTTCGAAGGCCAGGAAGGCAATTCAAATGGAGACAGAACAGTAAATGTTCGGTAAATAAATGTTTTCTGGCCCATCTCTAACAATGAACATACAGAGGACTTTGTTCAAAGGAACCTTGCTAGATTCCTCCCTATCACACCAGTTCATATTAAATCATAGTTACCTATGATAAAACACCCTTCCCAAAGCAGGCCCTAAATTTTGGGGAGCAGTTAGCAGGAGAGTCCAAAGCCTTTTCCTGAGTCTTGTTTCTTGAAAATAACCAGGCATGTTTTGGTGTGGAAAACTCCATTACCCGTTGCTGTCTTAATTCTTTGCTGGCTAAAATACAAGAGAAGGTCAAGTTCACTGGCATTTAACACTGACAAGAGCACTTTCCTAACAGGATCCCTGGGTCTGACAGTCATGCAAGATACAGGCTAACAGAAGAGCTTCAGTTAGCCTCAATGTCCCACAACAGAGCTAAGTCTTCCTTCCTACCTTTGCTTTCAGCCTACCAGAACCTATTACAGTTTATGAGGTTCAGTTAAGATAACATCATCTAACTTTAGCCACACTGACCCTCATGGAATGGACAAATAACTTCAAAGATTCCTAGGAAGAAACTATACAGACCAAACGTGAAGGACAGTACAAGCAACCAGCAAGCAGATGGCAGAGCTTCTGTCCACAGAGCAAGCAGCGCTTCAGGCACACACCCACAGCAATCTTGAAGGAAAGTTGACCATTTAGCAAAGACCAGGGGAATCACTTCTATTCTGAAAGATACTCACAGTAGTGAAGAGTATTTATTAACGTATATCCAGACAGATGTTTTATTTACATAATTTTGTTGCCATGAACAACATTATGCCCCTTACAAAAATTCACTTACCGAAACCCTCAAAAATTGGGGAACAGTTTCACATTTTAAAAATCTTCCCAATGAAGGGTTTCCTTGGCTTTGAACTCACTTTTGGAAATATAAATATGTAGGACTTCCAGCCAAAATGGAGGCGTAGGTAGACACACTGTGCCTCCTCACACAACCAAAAGAAGGACGACAACAACAAATTTAAAAACAAAACACAACTAGAACTGCCAGAAAATTGAATTGTATGGAATTCTGACAACCAAGGAGTTAAAAAAGAAACATTCATCCGGACCGGTAGGAGGGGCAGAGACAGGCAGCTGGGCAAACAGGACTTGTGGCACGGCTCGGGCTGACAGGCAAAGCAGCGACTGGTGGATCTGGCAAGACCGAGAATTGTGGAAAAGGTGGTCCCACATTTGCATGCAGATAAACCAGGAGCAACATTTGGGGAGCGAAACAGACTGCACAACCCAGGGTTTCAGCTCGGGCAAATAAAGCCTCAAACCTCTGACTGAAAACACGCATGGGGGTTGAGGTGGCAGCAGGAGAAACTCCCAGCCCCACAGGAGAGTTTTCTGGAGAGACCAACAGGGTCCTAGAACGTACACAAGCCCACTCACCCATAAATCAGCACCAGAAGAGCCCAATTTGCTTGTGGGTAGTGGAGGAAATGACTGAAAGCCAGCTGAGAGCTGAACAAGCAGCACTGTTCCCTCTTGGACCCCTCCCCCACATACAGCATCACAATGCAGTCAAGTGGGTTGCCCCACCCTAGTGAACATCTAAGCCTCTGCCCCTTAATAAATAACAGGTGCACCAAGACAAAAACAATGGCCCACAAGAAAGAGCAGCTCAAAGCTCCAGAAAAAAAATACAACTGAGCAATGAAGAGATACCCAACCTATCAAATGCACAGCTCAAATCACTGGTAATCAGGATGCTCACAGCATTGGTTGAGCATGGTCACAAAATAGAGAAAAAAAGTGAAGGCTACGCTAAGTGACATGAAGGAAAATGTACAGAGAACCAACAGTGACAGGAAGGAAATGGAGACTCAAATCAATGGTTTGGAACAGAAGGAAGAAATAAACTTTCAACCACAACAGAATAAAGAAACAAGAAGTCAAAAAAATGAGGAACCCATTTTTACATTCCAACAACTTTAAACATTCCAACATCCAAATCATAGGGGTACCAGAAGGGGAAGAGGAAGAGCAACAAGTGGAAAACTTATTTGAACAAATAATAAAGGAGAACTTCCACATTCTGGCAAAGGAAATAGACTTCCAGGAAGTCCAGGAAGCTCAGAGTCCCAAAGAAGTGTGGATCCAAGGAGGAACACACCAAGGCACACCATAATTACATTAGCCAAAGTTAAAATGAAGGAGAGAATCCTAGAAGCAGCAAAAGATAAGGAGACAATTACCTACAAAGGAGTTCCCATAAGTCTGTCAGTTGATTTCTCAAAAGAAACCTTGCAGGCAAAAAGGGGCTGCAAAGAAGTATTCAAAGTCATGATAGGCAAGGACCTACATCTAAGATTATTCTATCCAGCAAAGCTATCACTTAGAATGGAAGGGCAGATAGAGTGCTTCCCAGATAAGGTCAAGTTCAAGGAGTTCATCATCACCAAGCCCTTATTATATGAAATGTAAAAAAGACTTAAGAAAAAGCAGATCAAAAATATGAGCAGTAAAATGACAACAAACTCATAACTATCAACAACTGAACCTACAACAAAAACAGAAACTAAGCAGAACTAAGCAAACAACTAGAACAGGAACAGAATCACAGAAATGGAGATCACTTGGAAGGTTACCAGTGGAGAAGGGGAGTGGAGAATAGGGGAATAAGTGGCATAAATGGGAGATATAAAATAGACAGGGGAGGTTAGGAATAGTACAGGAAATGTAGAAGCCAAAGAACTTACATGTATGACCCATGGTGGGAGAGAGTGTGCAGGGTGGAGGGGAATAAAGGAGGGAAAATGGATCAACTGTAGTAGCATAAGCAACAAAATATATTTCAAGGGAAAAAAAGGAAATATAAATATGTAATATAATACTTTTGATGAGTTCCCAGAAAAACTGTCATCAGAGAAGGTGAAAATTCAGCAGCTGAAATATATAAAATCCTTCACATTACTGATGGATGACACTAAAAAACGAGCATTGTAATTTAATAATTGTGTCCAACAACCACCTCCTCAGTTTATTCCTCTATGTCTTTGTGACAGGTCTTTTTAAGCTATGACTAGGGTAACTGACTATCATGTTTTAGGAATGACCTGGTCACAGCACTGAAGTCCCATACCTGAGCAATCTCTCAATTCTAGAAAAGCCAGGATGGTCAGTTATCTTAGCTATGATATTCATTAGAATCAAACCTAAAAAAAACTGACTTCAGATAATGGTAACAAAAAGCTTTGAATCAGGCTTTCAAAAAAGAATCATGCATATTAATATTTTGGTAAGGGCAAACTCATCTTTAATAAAATACAATATTAATTTCATCTTTACATTATACTTTTTTAGTTTATTTTTTAGTCCATAGCTTTAATATACTAAGTAAAACATTTAACTTTTAAATAAATAAACCACATATATCAAGATAAAATAACAAAGTTTCTTTGTTGATGGGTAAAGCAAACCAACAAGTTTGAAAATGACTGCATCAGGCTGCCATTTGCCCACAAAGCCACGTCTAACTGAGTATGACAGATTCATTGAGATGCCTCAGCTTGCCATCTTTCTGTACATATAACTTATTTTAGTTTTTGAGTTTATGTGGCTCGAAGTGAAAACGTACACTTGTACACAAAAACAAATAATGCAGTGAAAACTTTCCTACCTGTCCTCCCCCATCTGGCCAACTCATAATACCTCCACCCACTAATCACCATTACTAGATTCTAATATAGCCTTGCAAATTTTTCTTTATAAATAAACAAAGAAATATAAATATATATTTTTATTTTCTTGTTCTTGTGCACAAAAGGTATCACATTATAATATTGTTTTCTACTTCTCTTTTCAGTTAACAAATATCTCGGAGATCATTATCATGTTATAAAGAGCACTGTGCTTTTTCCATAGATACATAGCATTACCCTGACTGGATGTTTCATGATTTGTTTAGCTGGCTCCATACTGGTGAATGTTCAGGTTGTTTCCCTATCTTTTTTCCAATCGTATAAAGCTGCAGTGGAAAAGCAGCACATATGTCCTTGGCATGAGTGCAAGGACATCTATGGAATAACTTCTCAGAAGCAGTGGCTTGCGTTTTCCTGCACCACCTAGTTGGGCTCCACTGTTCTCCCGAACAGTCCCCTGAGCCTCAGATCAAGGCCTGTTTTCCCACTGCCAAGAGGAAAAGGGTGTGTTATCAAATTTTTAGAATTTTGACAAAATGGCAAGTGAAATATAATATCTCACTCTACTACTAATTTATACTTGTTTCACTATGAGGAAGTTGAAGATTACTTTGTATATTTAAAAGCCATTTGTATTTCCTTTTCCATGAAATAGCTCTTTACATGTGTGGTCCATTTTTCTGTTGGAATGATTATTCATCTTTTGCTCTTAATGAATCAGAAAGATTATTCCTTTCTCTATAATATGAGATGCATTATTTATTCTTCCAGTTTATCTTTCCCCTTTTCTCTTGGCACTTTTTAAATATGCAGAGATTTTTGTTGTTTCTTTCTTTTAAGAAA